GCCCTACCATATCCAATAAAATCTTCAAAACTGCATCCTGTCATCTGAAATGGACGACACCATGCCGCGCTTACGAAGCGGCCCTACCATATCCATAAAATCTTTAAAACTGCATCCTGTCTTTTAAATAATATATTTTATATTACGTCATTAATTTTAAATTTCGATTTTAAATTTTAATTTTAAATTTGATTTCCTGTATCCTACCATCATTTACTAATATGTTCGTCCGTTGTGCAGCCGGTAGTGATACAGTAATCACCCGCTTGAATCGTGTGGATTAAAATATTATGTTCTGAATTTTATACCAAGGATTTATTCCCCTTTCCCAAATCAATTCTCCTATGTTCAAAAATATGTTCGTCCATTTGTTTTAGAATTTCCACTTTTACTTTTTATAACCAAAAATAAATTTTAATGTCGAAGGTGAGTTAGTGACAAGTAATATTTTTCGCTCCGGCAAGTGTGATGAAAACATGAAAATGTATATTTAAAGTGTGCTTAACCATTGACATTTGTGGAATTATGGGTTTAAGAGTTTTATTTTTCTATAGATAATTTCATAAGTGTTCATTTATTTATGTTGTGCAAAATTTTGGTGATTAAAGGTTTGATGACTAAATGGAGAGAATTAGAAGAAAAAAGACTTAAATGCAAAGAGCTGAAAAGATGAGGATCTAAGGATAAATCAAAAGTTTAAAGGCTCAAGAGTCAGGGACCAAGACTGTTATTCTGCCATTAACCAAAATTGCACACAAGGCCAAAAAACCCGACACGGACGATGCAGTTGACGCTCCACTCAAAGTGCCGGCACCTTGAAACGAGTGTCGACCCCCTTTGCTGTAATTCAGCCCAGCCCACATCCATTCTAATTAGGGTTTATAGGATACTATAAATACCCATCCAAGTTATTTTAGAGGGGGTTCCAAGGGCTGGAGAGGCTGCTACCAGATTTCTATTTTCTTCTTCAAGGCTAGAAAATTATGTCAAAAGGCAACTAAACTTTCAACAAGACTAGGGAGGATCTTGATTGAAGAGTTTGACTTGTTATTTTATTTTGATTCCTTCATAGATTTTATTGTTTAATTTTATTTTGAGAGATTATTAATTATTTTCAGATTTGAAAACCTTGAAAATTATATTTATCAAATTTCATATAAGATTAGTCATGCTCTTTTTATGTGTGATTTGTTACAATATAATTGATTGGTAGATTTGTTTTGCGGGTTGATCCTTTACTGCAGTATTATCGATTAGATATATTGTTGTTCTCGGATAGCTCGTAAGGATAGATCAGTTTGTTCTTCATTGAAATTAATTTTTCTCAGAATAAATACATTAGTCATTATTATTGGTTTTCAAAGT